TAATAATAAATGCAATTGGATTTTACTCAATATTTTTGAAGTAATTATTCAGCTTTAATAAAATTGATAAAATCATATAAGAGTGTTAAAAAATATATTTAAAGGATTTTCAAAAAGTGAGCAACACTTTTTGAAAATCCGTAAAAAAGCAAGTATCAAGTTTACATATCTTTAAAAGAAATTTATTTACATGATATATAGTTAAATATGTAACAAAAATATTTTAAAACAGAGACATATATAAAACACATTTTTCTTAAAAAAAACTAAGTTGAAGCCACCATTTACAGCATTGAGGAGCCAAGCATAGCCTATTGTAAAGAAAACCATATCAAATAATTTAAAATATTTATTACCGATAGGGACGACAGTTAAACATATTTAGAAAGCTACGTGATTCCATATTAGTAGGATTGTTATAGAAAAGTATATTAAAAAAGTATATTTAAAAATTATATTTAAAAAAAAGTGTTTTAAATAGAAAACAGATTTTTAAAAACTACCTAATTTTGTTAGCATTTTGCTAATGGTGTTCAATTTTGAAACCAACATCTTGAATTGGAAAGCCGACTTGTTTAACTAATCTCATTCAAAGAATAAAATTATTGACACTTAAAGAAAAAGAAAAAATGAATGAGATATAAACAATCGTACTATAGTATTATATAGATAAGTAGATATATATGAAAAACAACTGGAAAACAGTATACCTGCTTTTGGTAACCTATTGTGATACTGCAGCAGTTGCTGTAGGGATGCAGCTGTTCTTTTTGGTGTTGTTCAAAAACGTAATTTTTATGTTGGCTTTTAGTAAATTTAAAAGACATCACAACGGATTTAAAATACTCATAATAAAAAAAGCAAAACATAAAATGCTTCAAGGAGCCAAACTATAAACATAAAAGATGAAGAATGGAATCGAGATAAATAAATTGTATTTATATAGCTAAATATATTGCCTTGGGTTTTGGTAAATTTTAAAAGCAGTGAGTTCAATAAATGAAACATACCAAATAATTGTTTTTAACAAAAGAATGCAGCATCATTATATTATGATAATTAGATAATGAATCAATTTAACTTTCGACTTTAGATTTTAGGGAGGGGTATTTAAGAGGGCTTTAAATTTGAAGTCAGGTTTAATTGGTGAGAAAACAATTAAAATTTTCATTAAAAAAAGATCAAAACAAATCAAATATACAACGTAATATATATTTAAAATAACAAAATTAAAAGGAAAAACACCGAAACAAAAAATTACAAAATTAAAAAAAAAAACCCGAAGAAAAAGCAGCAACTAAAAAGTCATAAATATCTCTACTGATAGAAGACATTTACAACCTTTTGGTTGCTGTTTTTTCTTCGGTGTCTCCCAACACCCCGGTATGGATGAGCCCTCCATTTAAAGGAGGGCTTATCCATTAAGCCATGATCTTTCCATTTTTTGAAGGACCTCTCTGAGAGAGGTCCTGGGTGTTGGGAGCGGTAATTTTTGTATTCTTTGAATGATAAGGAATATAAAGTTACAAATAGAAGAATATAATAAAAATTATACATTTGCAATTATTTAAAAAAAAAAATAGCATAAACTCACCATTTTCATTTGAAACAAAAGATGCTAAAAAAAAAAAGAGAGAGCAAATTAAAAAAGGTTAAACTTGCAACATTTTGTATTTTAATAAACATATAGGGCAATAATGCAACCAGTTCAAAAGTTTCATATTTATTAATTAATTTTTCCACCTATTGCACATATTTCTCCATACAAAACATATAAAATATAAAACACAGCCCTACCAGCTATACTTCCACCAGACACTAAAGACAAATATATACTTAAATAAATATAAAATAATCGATAAAATAATGTTAACATATAAATATATACATATCTAAATAATTGTTTTACCCATCCCCCTCATTTCATCCATAAAGTTGTCTAAGAAAAAAATAACTAAAGCTAAAAACAAAACTATAAACTAAACCAAAACAATAAACTAAAGTAAACTTTAAATCTTCTAAATATTAATGCTTTATTTATTAAACTAATCATAATTTATACTTAGTTTTTGTTCCAACTTCCAAAAAAAGAAAGTATAAAATAAAGCCAAAGAACTTGATTTTTAAAAATTCCAGTGGCAGTGCAAATAAACAAATTCCTAATAACAAATATCTAATAGCAAAAACACTGACTTATTTCCTTTTTCACTTCTGTATTGAAACAATAAAAGCACTTTAATGTTTAGATGTTAAAATATCGATAAAATACATATTAAATGCCACATTCAACTAATGTAATTAATACCTTTATTAGATCTCTCTTGATTAACTAAAGAATTTAAATTTTAAATAAACTCTAACTAAATTTTAATAAACAAACAACCAAAATAAATCTTCATATTAATAGTACGTTATTAAGTTAATTAATAGATCAAACAATTTAATCTACTCTAATAATCTACTACTTTATTAATAAACTTTAATTTTTTTCTACGACTCAGTGTAACTATAATATAGATATTTTTAAAGTAAAAAAGAATTTAATATTATAATATATATGATTTTAAAAACCTGAAATTTTAAATCTACCTCGAAGAAAACAGATATATATTGAAAAGAATTTTTATTTCTTTTTAAAAATTTAAAAATGCTTTATAACTTACTTGTTTCGATATTATCACCAACGTCTAAATAGAAAAACAAACAAACATTCAAGTCGACTCATTCTTAAATCTTATAATATATATGATTTAAAAAACCTGAAATTTTAAATCTACCTCGAAGAAAACAGATATATAATAAAAAGTATTTTTATTTCTTTTTAAAAATTTAAAAATGCTTTATAACTTACTTGTTTCATATTATTACCAACGTCTAAATAAAAAAACAAAGATATATGAGTTATATATATGATTTTAAAATATATATGATTTTAAAAACCTGAAACTTTAAATCTACCTCAAAGAAAACAGATATATATTGAAAAGTATTTTTATTTCTTTTTAAAAATTTAAAAATGCTTGTTAAGTTACTTGCTTCAATATTGTCATCATCTAAATAGAAAAACAAACAAACATTTAAGTCGACTCATTCTTAAATCTAGTTTAATTTCTTCAATAATAAAAAAAATTTAATCTTTGAGGATTAAATTCATTTACAAAAATCCATTTAAGTTCGTTTAAACCATTTTAACATTGTAAAGTTAATTTAAAGTTTTAAAAAACTGAAACTTTAATTCTACCTCAAAGAAAACAGATATATATTGAAAAGTATTTTTATTTCTTTTTAAAAATTTAAAAATGCTTCTAAACTTACTCCCTCCAATATAATTATATAATATATATAGTATATATGATAAATAAACCTCCACAATTTCCTTGGTTTAACAACTTATGATTAATAACAACTCTGTAAACATGAATTTTCTAATAACCTAAATAAATTACAGATAGACAAACATAAACTAACACAATTAAATCCTAAACCAAAATTCATTCATGCAAGACAAATTATTTTATATTTATTGAAGAGCCAGAAACATATTTTTTTTTCAAAGAGCAAAAGTATTAACAATATTAAAGATAAATTTTATTTATAACAAAATTTTCAATAAAAATTAAATTGAGATAAATTTATAACAAAATGTTGTCATGGCATTTATCCCAATAACCAAAACTAAGTGAAAGCATGAAACTACCCATAAATATATTTTAACGCTAGACACAATTTAAGAATTAAAGTAATCTATAACACGAAGCTTTAAATTTAAAATTACAATTTAAAAAAGATTACAATAAATTAATTACTTTTAAATTTAAAAAAAAATTTAGATTACCTATAATTTTAAGCTTATTTTATTATTTTATTATTTAAACTTAAGCAATTACTTTCGTTAAATGAAAATGTACTAATTTTCTTCTAATAAAGCTTCTTTTTATTAGAAATCAATAATAATAGTGAAAAAATTACTTAAGATACTTAATACATTATTAATCAACATATGTACATAGGGTAAAGTAGGGCAATTTCGGCAGGGAGATAATTTCGGCACCACTTCAAAAGACACCTAAAAATATTTATTTAATGAAATATCAAAACTATAATTGAGTATTATAGAAAGATAAACAGTTTTTCTAAAAATAATAGTTTAAACTTCTATTTTTACATTATAGGTACGTTATTTTATGATTATTAGGTTTTTCTTAACATTTTTTCCTTTTTGAAAATAGAAGATAAATGATTTTTTCCGAAAATTTCTACCAAAAATTTGTATTTATTTCATTCAAAAATATATACTGAACAAAATGTGAGCAACAATAAAATTAAACTCAAAGTATTTTACAAGATATAATAGTATACCCTAGGACTGCTTTAAGGAGATAATTTCGGCTTATAAATAGTCCTTAATTTCGGCAGTCCCGAATTTGCCGACCTGTTGTTTCTCCAAAACTAAAATGGAAATAAGCGTTATAAATATTATGTATAGAAGAAATTGATTTTAGTAACTCAGATAATAAACTAATAACGAGCTAGTAAAAAAGTGAATTTAGTTAGTGTCACTGTGAAACTTATCAAAATAATAGTTCCCCACAATATATTTTAAATTTATGTCATACATAACAATATGTATATAATAAATTTATAATTTGTTATATACAATAATTATTATTGTATATAACAAATCATTTATGAATTATATACATACTGTTGAATATTATTGAATAATATGCATATAATAATAATAGTAATATATATATATTTATATAAATATATATATATATATATATATATATATATATATATATATATATATATATATATATATATACATATATATATATATATATATATATATATATATATATATATATATATATATATATATATATATATATATATATATATATATATATATATATATATATATATATATATATATATATATATATATATATATATATATATGTGTGTGTGTAAACATTATTTTACAGCATCATATAATGAGTTCAAAACTTGTAAAATATGGTAATTGGTCACAAGAATCATTAAAAATGGCAGTAAATGCAGTTTTAGCTGATGGCTGCTCGAAATATTCTGCTGCTAAACAATATAAAATACCAAGACAAACACTTCATGACTAAATAAAACGAGCACCTGTTGATAATTTTGTTAAAAAGTTACGTGCAGGACACCCGACAACACTCTCAGCTTTTCAAGAAAAAGAGCTCGTAGAAGTTCTTCTGACCATGTCACAGAGATTGTTTGGTTTGTCTCCAAAAGATGTAAAACAAATGGTATTTCAGTTTTGTGAAGAAAATAGAATTATTCACAAATTTAATTGTGAAACTAAGTCAGCAGGAAAAGAATGGTTTAGGGGTTTTTTGAAACGCCATAATGAACTCTCTGTCAGAGTTGCTGAGTCAACGTCATTGCATCGAGCCATTGGTTTTAATAGAATAAAAGTTAATCGTTTTTACGATGAACTAGAAAAAATGTTTAATGCTAATGGGATGCAGATTATTCCACCATCAAACTTATTCAACGTAGATGAATCTGGATTGTCTATTTGCCATAAACCAGGAAAAATTGTTGCTCTTAAGGGAAAACACAGTGTTGGTGGCTTAACAAGCTCCGAAAGAGGTAAAACAATCACAATAGTTTGTTGCCAATCAGCAAGCGGGTTTTTTGTCCCTCCGATGTTGATCTATCCACGTATTCGAGTGAAACCTGAATTTTTAGATAAAGCCCTAATAGGTTCTATTTCTGGTGGCAGCAAAAATGGCTGGATAACAACTGAGTTGTTTGAAATATGGTTTGATCATTTTTTATAAGCAGTCCAGCCTCAGTCAAGAAACCAACCAGTGCTTCTAATTTTAGATGGACATTCAAGTCATAAAAAAAATCTTAGTGTTATTAAAAAAGCGCGCCACTCAATTGTTATTATTTTATCGCTTCCATCCCACTGCACCCACAAACTGCAACCACTTGATGTTTTGTTTTTTAAAAGCCTCAAAATATTCTATGATCAGGAGGTTAGTACTTGGCTTCGTCACCATCCTGGTCGTCCAGTAACTGAACTAGAGGTTGGTGAATTATTTGGAAAAGCCTATGGGAAAGCTGCAACTGTTCAAAATTGTCAGTCAGGGTTCAAAAAATGTGGAATATATCCATTTGATAGAAATGTGTTTACTGAAGAAGACTTTGCTGCAGCCAAGGCTACTGATCACTTGTATGTTGTATCAAAAATTTCAAAACCAAATAATACCTCTGAAATGCACCCTACTCTCAACAATGGGTTAGACTCTGCTAAAGAATTAGATAATATTGATTTTGTTACAGATTGTGTTATTGACACTCAAAAAGATAAATCGCCATAAATGTTGTATTATTTTTAACATCTTCTGCATTTTATTTAAAATACAATAATGACTTTTTTAAAATCAAGCAAAATATTAACTTATCTGTTGTTTTATTAACCTAAAAAAAGGTTTTTTAAAGAAAGTTCAAATTTTTTAAAAACATTTTAACTATTTTTTATAATTTGCATGTTGCCTATTTTTATTCACCCTCTTTAGTTAAATAATTTTTACATAGAATCTATTTCACCAAATTCATCATTTACACTTCAGAAGTCATCAGAATTAGCCACCTCACACGATGAAACCTCACAACCTTATGGTGTTACATTCGGATCACTAGCTGGACTTGACATTAAAAATGCAAAGCGAGCAGGTATAAGAAGGAGGGTAAATCATGCTGAAAAAATTACTGGATCACCATATAAATCTCAGCTAGAGGAATCTTTAAACTTGAAATATAAGAACAGACAGCCACGTAAAAAGTGCATTAAAAAAAGTATATCTACTCATCAAAAGACGTGTTTGAAAAACCTTGATGCTAAAGGTGCGATTAATAAACAACTTTGTGCAAAGTGTCAATACAGTTATGGTGATCCTGTCGATCTTTATTTAAAAGATAATTGGGATAAATGCCTTAAATACTGTAGATGGTGGCATGAAACATGTGCTGCTATATGTGGTGTTTATACTAAAAAAAGTATTTACTTGTGATGACTGTATAAAGCACTGATTCTTAAAAAAAAAGTTTTATGTCATATATTGATAAAATGTGTTTTAACTTTCTTAAATAAATCTCTTGTTAAAAAAGTTTCCTTTGAGTTTTGTTTTTTATTTTTTTAAGTTTAACTATTGAAGTTATGTAAAATATTATTTTATGAACTACTTATGAGCTTTTAAACATAAATTCTTATTTAAACAAAATTTAGAAATAATCATCGAAATCGTAGAAATTAGTAATCGTTTCATTAACAATTATACTTTGGAAGCACATTTATATTTAATAAGGTTTCTGTTTTGGGTGACATTCATACCTTAATAAAAAAGGTGACATTCATACTTTAAAAATACATGACATTCATACTTTAATAAAATAAATAGGTGGTTCAAAAATTATTATTTTTTGCAACTGAAACGCCCTTAATTAAGTGCCAATTAGGTGTAACAAATTCTATTTAAGAGACAATTCTTTATACAATCCAGATTTATAGCTGTTTATAATATTTTAAATATATTAATGAGTTTTCAACAAACTTCTTAATTTTCATAACTATGCCGAATTTACCGTACCATAGTGCCGAAAATACCATACTAGGTCGCTAATTTCGTCATTTTTGAGTATTTTGTAAAACAGGTTTTACGTAAAACTTTGTAAGTTGGAAACAATTTTTTAACTATTATTTAATAGATATATCTGCAGTGTACCGATATGCATGATTTTTTAACATTATTAAAGCAACCGTTGTCTATAAACAGCAAAATAGCTTAATACGCCGAAATTAACCTACTTTACCCTATAGTTTATTATTTTAAATGTTAATCATTTTGAGAAATTTATTTTTATTTATGCGTTGTTTATTAATCCTTTACATTTACATTTTACAGCTTATTTTCATTTACTGTATTGGCAATAATTGTTTTCTTCTTGTTTTTTTCTTTCATTTTGGCAAAATGTAAATAAATTTAAAAAAAATTAGTTTTCATCAAATTATATATTTTTTCAACTTGTAAAAAGATTTATCAATTATGATATAGTATGTTTTTTTGCAATAAACAACTAAAGGTTTCAAATTTTAGTTAATAAATTAAATTTTACATACTCTTTATGAAAAAGTTGTTTTTTCAAAATGCCATTATATATATATATATATATATATATATATATATATGTATATATATATATATATATATATATATATATATATATATATATATATATATATATATATATATATATATAATATATATATTTTAGTTTTAAACTAAAAAAAAATTTATAATGCTAAAGATATTTAAGTTTTTTGAAAGCGTTCATTAAAAGATTTGAACTAATAAACTTTACAAACTTTTAAATATATTAAGTAAATATTACTTACATTTCCACCAACTGGTTGCTGCACTTGAACTGTTATTGCTTCGGAATTTAAAGTTGGCTCAGCTTATAAAAAAAAATTACTATCAAAATCCTTTGATAAAAATCTTATTGTTGATTGAAGTCTAATACAAACAACTAAAGGTTTCAAATTTTAGTTAATAAATTAAATTTTACATACTCTTTATGAAAAAGTTGTTTTTTCAAAATGCCATTATATATATATATATATATATATATATATATATATATATATATATATATATATATATATATATATATATATATATATATATATATATATATATATATATATATATATATATATATATATATATATATATATATATATATATATATATATATATATATATATATATATATATATATATATATATATATATATATATATATAATGGCATTTTGAAAAAACAACTTTTTCATAAAGAGTATGTAAAATTTAATTTATTAACTAAAATTTGAAACCTTTAGTTGTTTGTATTAGACTTCAATCAACAATAAGATTTTTATCAAAGGATTTTGATAGTAATTTTTTTTTATAAGCTGAGCCAACTTTAAATTCCGAAGCCATAACAGTTCAAGTGCAGCAACCAGTTGGTGGAAATGTAAGTAATATTTACTTAATATATTTAAAAGTTTGTAAAGTTTATTAGTTCAAATCTTTTAATGAACGCTTTCAAAAAACTTAAATATCTTTAGCATTATAAATTTTTTTTTAGTTTAAAACTAAAACATAGTTGAAAAATAATTAAAGTCTTGTCATTTTTATTTATCAAAGCTTTTTTTTCCGTTTCCTGCAAAAATCATTAAATGCGTAAAAACGCAAGCACAAATTTCTATTGTAAAACTGTGTCTAGAAGATAAAATATAGTGATTTTTATAGATTTTTTGTTTATTATGATTTAAATAATTCGAAAAATGTGTAAAAATACATATATTCTTCTATGAACAAAAAATATATCTTATATTTCATCATATTAACACATTAATACATTCATTCTTTGACTAATTAAGCCATGAATCTTGGTTACTTAACTGCATATTTTAGTGCAGACTAAACCAAACGTAAAAATATTTCAGTCTGCACGACATTTAATTTTAATTTAACGCCGTGAAAGTCTTGTTGACTTGTTGGAAGTTACTGGAAGAGAAGTAATAAAGTTTGTAGAGTAAGTTAACGATTAACGGACTACTTAGACGATTACAAATTATATGAATCAGGAAAACAAGTTGAAGGTGGCGAATTCCAAACAACTAATGTTTGCGGAAAAAAACTAGATATTTAAAATTTTTAAGGGCAATTAGAAAAAGTTGTAGTACACCGATAACATTTAATTGAATGATGAGTAACACAAGCATATATTTTAGGAGAAGGCACAAGAGACGCTAGCTCTTTAGAGCAGTACCCATTGATGTATTTAAAGAAAAAAGAAAGAGAAAAGAGAAAGCCACATTACGACAATGTCACAATGTGTCGAAGTTGGCTGCAAGAGCGGGTTTAAAAATGCATTTGTGCACTTGTCTATAAGAAAAAAAGCAACATAGAAAAATTTGCCCCAAATATGGCTACAGTATTCCATACTGGTAGGGATGTGAGATGTAAAGAGAAAAATAATAGAATTCGCAGTAAGAATGTAACGAGCACGATAAAGAGGTGCAACCTTAGAAGATGCTAATTTTTCATTTGATTTAATTTATGGTTTTCTATAAAAATCGAAGTAAGACTTATCTTTAGAAGATGAAGGGTAGAAACGTCGAGAGTTAAGGAAAAAATGACAGCTTTGGAACTTTTTATTGTAAACAAACTGCAATTAAACATACATTGTCAACTTAAAGGTAAAACATGTTTTGTACACAATATATATTGCATGGTATTAATAGTTTATAAACTATTGTGAATATATATATATATATATATATATATATATATATATATATATATATATATATATATATATATATATATGTATATATATATATATATATATATATATATATATATACGTATATATATATATATATATATATATATATATATATACATATATATATATATATATATATATATATATATATATATATATATATATATATATATATATATATATATATATATATATATATAAATATATATATATATCTTTTATTTTAGAAACTAATTTTTCTAAGCTGTCCTGATAATACTTCTACCTGCATCAAATCGTTGTCTCCTCCACATGTTGGTTATACTTGGAAAGGTAATTCAGCATCTAGAACTTAGACGAGACGAGAGTATGAAAACCAAGCTGAATTCATATAAAAAAGCTAACTTTATATAAAAAAGGAGAAATTATTTTATGCAAGCCTTTAGCCTCAAAAAAAGACTGTTTAAATTCATGTGAACTTTATACGTACACAGTGTTTCAATATTAAAAAACAAACAAAAATATTTGCTGGTTTTTGGTACAAAAGTGTACTACTAATGAAAATTCGCAAAAAACATGTTAATTTTATTACAGTTTTATAGCATTATTTTTTACCCAAACGCATGTATATCTTATAAGAGAGATAGTCACATGTTTATAGCCAATTCTGATACATTCCCCAAAATAAGAGTAATAAGAAAAGTCTTTGTAAACAGAGGTATCGGGATAAGGTTTCATTAAAAAATTAATATCCTTGATTTAATTAGAGCAAATGTTACAATTTAAAATTAGAATTTTTATACTGTCTACCAAACAAAAATGCTAAATTCTTTGAACTTATTTTAAATAAAGTTTTATTTTATTGCAAAGATCTTGATGTGTATTTTAGATAATATATCGTTTATCTTTAATGATGATTTAATAATAAATGGTAAGTTATAGATAAACAAATATTTTTTATTTTATAGTGTTTTCACCAGTGTAAAATAAGATTTTATTTGAATAAAACAGAGATGATCATACTTGTACTTTATTTTGCCAAAATGTATACAATATGTAAGTAAAAAATATAGATGAGTTTCCGTGCGACGTCACATCTTTTTGTAAACAACATGCGCGCGCATACATGAAGGCAGAAAAAATAAATACGCAACTTTAATATCCTTCTTGTATTTCTTTTATACCCTGAAATCAATATTTCTTTTGTAAAAATATTAAAATAATAATAAATAAAATTAACTACAAATTTTTTAAATAAATTTTGGTAATAAAAGTTTTTATTGTTATGAAAAACTTTTTTAAAAAAGTTTAAAAACAGATGTTCTTGTACAAATTTTAAACTCATTTTAAATTCAAAAGTTGCTCTTGCAACTTTTCTGCTCTTTTTAAATATATTTTGTTTTTGGAAGTCAACAATAACACTTAGTTTTTCAAATAGTTAAAAATTAGTAAACTAAGGCTGATTTTCTTGTATTCTCCCATGCAGTTAAAAGGTGAACAAAGTCTCATTTTAACAATTAAAAAAGACCTTTTTTTAAAATGATTGATAAATTGACAAAAAATATTTAGAAAGTTTACTGTGTATGCCAAAGACTAAGTTTTGGAAAAATGATACCATGCACTTTCGCTGACTGCAAATATGAATGGTTTCATTACACTTGTGTTGGACTAAAAAGAGCTCCAGAAAGTACTAAATGGTTTTGCAAAGAATGTAAAACCAAGCAATAAACAATAAC